GGCTCAGGTCATGATCCTGGAGTCCCGGGATCGAGTCCCGCATCGGGCTCCCTGCTCAGCAGGGAGTCTGCTTCTCCCTCTGACCCTCTTCCCTCTCGTGCTCTCTATCTCTCATTCTCTCTCTCTCTCAAATAAATAAATAAAATCTTTAAAAAAAAGAAAAAAAAATACTAGTGTGTGCTAGAGAGTGTGCTATATTGAGGGAGATACTCTCACTACCTGTCAGTGAGAATATAAATTGGTATGTTTTGGGAAATTTGATTTGCATGCACAGCCTTAAAAACAGCCAAATTTAGAAATCAGTCCTAATGAAATAATATGAAATACATAAAGATGTTCACTGTTATCTGTAATAGTGATAAACTGGAAAAAAAAACTCTAAATATACATACAATAAAGGGATGACTAAATTAAGGTTTATCTCTACGAAACCATTTAAAAGGCCATTATCCTGAAACCAGTGTTACACTATATGTTAATTAACCAGAATTTAAATAAAAACTTGAAACAAACAAACAAAGGCTGTTATTATCTAGTTCTTATTAACAGGAGTAAATGCTTACCTTATGTTTCACAAGGACATGATCCTAATCTATCTTGTTTTCACTATTTTATTCCTAGGGTATAGTATAAGGACTAGCATATAATTTTTTAAATTACAAAGTGTTTTTAATTAAAATTATGCTTTTTAGAGCAGTTTTAGGTTCACAGCAAAATTGAGGGGAAGGTATGGAGATTTCCTTGTCCCTATACATGCATAGCCTTTCTCATTATCAACATCCCCCATGAGAGTGGTACATGTTATAATGGATGAACCTACACCAACACATCATAACCACCCAAAGTCCATAGTTTACATTAGGGTTCACTCTTGGTGGTGTACAGTTTGAGGGTTCGGACAAATGTACAAAGACATGTATCCCTTATTATAATATCATAGAACATTTTCACTGCTGAAGAAGAATCCTCTGTGCTCCTTCAATTCATCCTTCTTTCCCCCCAACCCCTGGCAACCACTGATCTTTTTACTGTCTTTATAGTTTTGCCTTTTCTGGAATGTCATATGGTTGGAATGATACAGTATGCGGCCTTTTCAGACTGGCTTCTTTCACTTAGTGATATGCATTTAAGGTTACTCCATGTTTTTTTACGGCTTGATAGTTCCTCTCTTTTTAGCGTTGAATAATATTCTATCATCTGGATGTACCAACTTATTTATCTATTTACCAACAAAAGGGTGTTTTGGTTGCTCTCAAGTTTTGGCAATTATGAGTAAGGCTGCTATAAACATCTGGGGACAGGTTTTTGCATGGACATGTTTTCAACTCCCTTGGGTAAATACCAGGGAGGGTGATTGCTGGATGGTTTGGTAAGAGCATGTTTAGTTTTTATTAGAAACTGCCAAATTAACAGTCTCCCGAAGTGGCTGAGGCATTTTGCATTCCCACCATCAATGAGTAAGAGTTCTTGTTCCTTCACATCCTCACCAGCATTTGGTGTTGTCAATGCTGTGGATTTTGGCCATTCCAGTAGTGTGCAGTGCACATAACTTTTTTTTCTTTAAAAAGTGGCTTTTTATTAATTTTTAACCTATAATTTATTTATTTAAATTCATTAATTAACATATATACATAAAATTTTAATAAATATTTGGTAGGGGCACCTGGGTGGCTCAATCGGTAAGAGTCTGCCTTCCGCATGGTCATGATCTTGGGGTCCTGGGATAGAGCCCCTTGTAGGGCTCTCTGCTCAGAGGGGAGTCTGCTTCTCCCTCTCCCTCTGCCCCTCCCCACCGCTTGTTCTCTCTCTCAAATAAATAAAATCTTTAAAAAAATAATAAACAAATAAATATTTGGAAAATGAATGAAAACTAATGTTCAGTGAAAAATGTAAAATTATATAAAATGGGATTTCTGTAAAAAATCAGTGTAGAAAAAAAACTGTAATGACACACAACCAAGTGGGAAAACAGGTCATGGGCATTTGTTAAAAATAGCTTTATTGAGGTATAATTTTACATACCCACTGTCTATGTACAGTTAAATGACATTTATACAGTTGAGCAAATATCACCATAATCCAGTATCATGGTCAATTTTTGTTTTCTCAGTCCATCTTTTCTGTATGGTAAAGGAGGGCTTACTCTTTGAAAGGCCTCTTCACTGAAGGTTGGTGGAACTGAACTCTAGAATTACCTATAAAATTATTTTCTAGTCTAATGACTTGAGTCTCTCCCTTCAATTTGGCGTATGCAACTTTCTAGCAGAAAGTGGATTCTAAAAAGCAGCAGGAAGGTCCTGTGCTACCTTCCGTAGTACAATGTTAAGGGTTGAGCAGGAACGATACAACCTAGATTGTTTGGACGTCCCCCTACCCACCTGGGAAGTTGGCCGCTACAGCCCACAGGCTGGGGCCACCATCCTCCGTGAAGTGCCCAGAGAAGGGACCTTCGTTGCACTCACTTAGCTCCCTAAACTTAGCTTCCCTTCGGGAAGAAGCCGACCGAGATAGGTTAGCACCTGAATACCCATCATAGACCCAGCTCCCAGCGCCCCGCCTCCAGCCTCCTACCTGCGGAGAAGCAGAGCAAGGACAGCCGGTGCCTCAGGCGGGCCAAGCCTAGCACAGTGGGAGCAAAGAACATGGCTTCATCGTCGGGGTGCGCGATCACCAGGAGGGTCCTGCTTCCATCTCCCGGGACGCCAGCCGGCTCCTGACTCTTCATTCTTTCCCAGGAGTCCCAAACCCAGAGGAAGCCCCATGCGAGGATCGCCGCTGCCAAGCACAGAAAACCCACAACTTCCATCCTAAGTGGCACTGCGCCTGCGCAGGAGGAAGGCTGCCGCACACGCAGCCTCCGGCGGGAAAACTGCACTCGCGGAAATTGCGTTCCGAGTTTAAGTCCGTTTTGCCAGGTTTCAGAACGTTGGGTTCCTGTTGTGGTTTTACAAGGACACCTCCCAACCGTTCTTTATCTAGCTCTCTCTATGCAACCTCTACGACGTCTTTTTGCCTTCTCGATTTCAGAGACGAACCCCTTGCCGTCCAGCTTTCTGCCCCTGTCCTTACAGTGCCATGGGTTTAAAAAGAAGCGTTTGAAAATACCTGCCCTCCCTCTCTTGAATTCCCTCCTCTCTTCAATTCACCATTTTGTAACTCATTTATTTAAAACCCTAGGCTTCCTCGTAATTATTTGTTAGCCCCTTATCCGGATGAACCGACTTTGTTTCTCCTTCTTCATTTTGGCTTGTGGAGCGGTGGCTCCTCTGAAGGAAAAGCACGCGGTTACGAGGAACCGTCCAGTGATTTCTCTAGAAGGGTAAGGCTGAGAGAGCGCACTTCGTAGTCGCCGAGAGCCACGGGCTCCTCCGACGGTTGACTTTAGATTAAGGAACGACATCACGACATCACGCCTGACATGTCAGTGTAAGTCCCGCTGCGAATTACAGCCGCAGCCCTGGAAACTATCCCGGGTAGGTCGACGTGCAGCCAGCCCTCTGGCTCCCAGCACTGGGGACCTGACTTCGCTCCCCGCAGCCCGGGCCTGGAGGAGGCGGCGGCCATGGCGCCGCCGCGCCGCGGAGGGGTCGCAGGGCCCGAGGCAAGGCCTCGGGTCCTTCCCTTTCCCACTCCCCGGGGAAGGCCCCGAGCGCGCGGGAGCCGGCGGGCTCGCGGCGGGCGCCGCGGCCCGAGTGCGCGATGGCGGGGCGCTGGGTCCGGCCGGGTACGGCGCGTCTCCGCCCGAGGGGACCGCCCCCCGCCAGGCTGAGCGGAGAGCCGAGGGGACCAGGCGCGGGGCGACCCAGGAAGCTCGGCCGAGGTAGGAGCCGCGCTCGGCCAGCGGAGGGAGTCGGTCTCCCAGCCCTCCGGAAGGAGGAGGAGCCGGCGCCGGAGCCGCCTTAGCGGCGGCCGCCGAAGCCGGGGGGGAGGGAGAGGGGTTGAGTCAAGATGGCGGCCAAGGTGGCGAAGCAGCAGCAGCGGCGGCGGCGGCGGCGGCTGGAGTGAGCTCCCCGCTTGCCGCGCCGAGCGAGGTCCCGGGGTAGGGCCGCGCGCCGGGGCCGCGTCCTGCTGCTCAGGCCCGGGGGCGCGCCGGCTACCACGCTCCGCCAGCTCCTGGTGAGTAGGCCCCGGCGCCCGCAGCCCCGGCCTCCGGGCCCCCCGCTCGCTCCGGGGCTTCCGAGGGCTCCCAGAGCGCCGGCCGCGGGAGCGGCTTCTCGGCCCGGCGCGGGGCGTCGCGGGCCCGGTAGGTCCGGTCCCGCCGCAGACGCCCAGCCTCTTCCGCTCGGCCGTCCGGGGCGACTCGGGCGCGGCGGGGAGCTGGGGCTGGGCGAGGGGAAGAGGCTTATGGAGTTTGGAGGAAGAATGGGCTGCGGCCGGCCGGGTGTCCTGTGGGGAGGGGGCGTGCGGAGTCCTGCGGGCCGCCCGAGCGAGACCGGCAGGGCCGGGGGAGCCCAGGTGGGGCCGGCACAGGTGGCGGGCCTGGGCTCACTCTGGGGCGGAGTTGGTGGCCGTCTCGGGAGTGTGGAAGGGCTTAGGGAGGGTGACAGCGGTGGACAAGTGCGTGAAAAGCAAACTAGTTCACCTTCTAAGCAAACCACTTCGGGGTGTAATGGCGAAGGGTGGGTAGTGGCGGAGATGGCAAAGATCGGAACCCTCTACCTCCTGCCTTTCATCATTGGTGTTTTACTGGGTGAAGTCGGTGAATTCTCTTTTATAGAGGAAGAAGGATTTGAGAAACTGTAATTGAGAAAGCGGTCTTAATGGAGAGCAGACTGAATTCTTCGATTGGACTGGATTAGGTGTAGTCGTTCTTAGAGGTGGACGTGGGAATAAGTGGTATTTGTGAAAAGTGTTTGCTCAGGAAGCGTCAGTTTTCTTTTACTGATGTTGCGTGCCATGGCGCCACTTCAACAGAGTTAACCTTGGAGAGCAGTGTTGTAGGTAATTCTGATCTTTGGGATTAGTATTCACCTGCATCAGATTTGCTTCCCTAATCATATCCTAATTAATATTGAAATTTGCGTTCCTTGGGTGCATCCTGGTGAGGCAATGATGAGAGGCAGAACACTGAGCCAAGAGCAACAGGCCCGGGATTTTAAAATGCCTACAAATATTCATTCGTTCGTTCAACATATCTTGATCAATAACTGCTGCTAATAGGTCACATGGGACTGTCCTTTCCATAACTGAAGAACCGTTGACATTATTCAATTTTTAATTGTTTAAAAAAATGTCTTAATGTACCCTTTCATAAAAATATTTATTGGATGAACCAAGTGGCCTGGGCTCAGGAGCAGATAGAACAATTTTAGAATCTTATTTAGAAACGGGTAAAAATTACCAAAGAAGTAAACACAAGTTGTTGGAGGAAGAAATAGTGTTTGTATTCGCTTATTCTGTTAGATCCGGTGGGAGCTTATTTATTTATTTTAGTATTTATAGTACACAGTTGCCTTGCCTTGCTTTAAGCACACCTGTCAACAGAAATCAAGGTTAACACACGTATATATAAATAATATGCACATACTTACATACATACATAAGGATGGGATTACTTGGAATACCAAAATACTCTTTCCTTTTGCAAAAGGCTTGCCATATGTTGAACTACTCCCCCAGAGAAAATACAATACAAAGAGTCCTGATTCTTCCTTTTACTAAGTGACGTTTTGGAACATGATCAACCTTTCTGTGCTTCCCTTTCCTCATCTATGATAGTAGGAAAACATCCATTCTTCTAGGGTTGGCTGCTGTGATCCTAAGAGAGTTAATAGTTATGAAATTGCTTTAAACAGGTAGAAAGGGTTATGCTTCTGTGAGGTAGTAACAACTTCCTTTGCACTCCTGAAGTGCTTATCTGCACATCTCCCGTGGCATTCACACTTTCTACCTTGTATTTAGGTATTTAGGAACCAGTTTTATCTCTTGAGATCAGGATAGGCCCTTCTCAGATTTTATCTTTACGTTTAAGACACCAGGTAGGATTTTATTTTCTGTGTGGGGTATTGACACTGCAAATGTTTGTTGAGGGAATAAACATTGTATTCTAATTAGAAGAATGTATTCACATTACCACTTAACCTGAATAGGCCTGTTACATACCCTAGCTGTGATTCCCTCCATGGCCTCTGAGAAAGATACATTTGTAACTGAATGCCTTTTGGATTTAATCAGACAGTAAAACTTAAGTGTTCGGTGTGCTCACATAATTTTTTTTTAAAGATTTTATTTATCTATTTGAGAGAGCGAGAATGAGAGAGAGAGAGAGAGAGAGAGAGAGCGCGCGCACATGAGAGGGGGGAGGGTCAGAGGGAGAAGCAGACTCCCTGCTGAGCAGGGAGCCCGATGCGGGACTGGGTCCTGGGACTCCAGGATCATGACCTGAGCCGAAGGCAGTCGCTTAACCAACTGAGCCACCCAGGCGCCCAGCTCACATAATTTTTTAAAAGAAAATGCTTGAAAATAACTTATGTTTCTTTGAATTTAATTGAGTAAAAGTTGGTTCCAAAGCTAGGTAAATATAGTCAAGTTTTTGTAAGCTTTTTTTTTTTTTTTTTTTTAATTTGGGAAGTGGTGAGATTTTCTTGCCATTACTGCAGTAGGAAGCAAAGGCTTTTGAATAGGCCAGGGATTGATGTAGGTAAATGTCAGGCTATTTGTTACTCAGTTTTTTTAGTGTGTTTTGTTACTCAGTTTTTATTGTATTTTGTAATCTGTCTCAATTGCAATTTCAGTTTCTTCCTGATGCCTGGGAACAATGGAGGTCTAGCCTACTTAGTTACTTCACTTTCTTCTCTTCATATGTTGCATTTTACTAGAATACCTTGTAAAGAAGTAGTAAAGCTTGATCAGAATTTCTTTTCTTTTTTTTTTTTTTAAGATTTCATTTATTTATTTGCCAGAGAGAGACACAGTGAGAGAGGGAACACAGGGGGAAGTGAGAGAGGGAGAAGCAGGCTTCCTGCGGTGCAGGGAGCCCGATGCGGGGCTCGATCCCAGGACCCTGGGATCATGACCTGAGCTGAAGGCAGACGCTTAATGACTGAGCCACCCAGGTGCCCCCACAGTTTATTTTCTATGGACTTATTTTTATTTTTAGTTTTTTATTGTTATGTTAATCACCATACATTACATCATTAGTTTTTGATGTTCTATGGACTTATTTGTTGATCAGAGATTCATATGTAGTTCATTCACTTGTTCAACTGGTGTGACATGCCTTTTATGTTCAGGGTATATTACTAAATGCTTGTAAAGGTATAAAGTTGAGCAGATCAATTATGTGCACAAATAAGTCTCTAGGTTGCCTGATATTTTGTCTTTTTCAGGTTTGAGGATGCAAGAAGTACATTTAGATTGATGGTTAAGAAAACATCTTGGGGCGCCTGGGTGGCTCAGTCGTTAAGCGTCTGCCTTCGGCTCAGGTCATGATCCCAGGGTCCTGCGATCAAGCCCCGCATCGGGCTCCCTGCTGGGCGGGAAGCCTGCTTCTCCCTCTCCCACTCACCCAGCTTGTGTTCCTGCTCTCGCTATCTCGGTCTCTGTCAAATAAATAAAATCTTTAAAAAAAAAAAAAAGAAAACATTTTGGTTTTTTTTCTGTCAGGACTTCTTAGGAGTATTGAAAAGCTATGAAAAGCTTCTGTCATGTAGCAATAACTATGTAGGGCATCTGTTTTTTATTTGGTATTCTTGTGGTGGTGGTTTTCCTTGAACATTTTTACTGTTCTTCTACTATTTTTTCTACCCGAGAAGCTTGTGTGGTCAAAATATTACTGAAGACCATAGTCTTCAGATACAACATACTTTTTTGTTTGTTTGTTCTCTTTGCATTTGAAAGTGAGACCATAGAAAGCCATGTTAATGTTCCTTTGGAGTTCTTCAGTTCGATTCCTCCCTGGGTGCTACTGTTACTTTTACTTAAAAGTGATCGCAAAAAAACAAAACAAAACACAAAAACAAAAACTGGTTAAAATAAAATGCTAATGATTTATAGAATTATAGGATCTAGAGTCATAGATGATCTAGTCTTACTTTACTCGTGAATAAACTGAGGGTCACGGAAGTGAAGTGATTTGCCTAAATTGTTTCAATTGGCCAGTGGTAGAATCTTGTCTTCTGACATCCAGTGTAGGACTCATTCCATTACACCATCTCATCCATCGGATGATTCAGCGTGATGATTGACAATTAGAACAAAAATCGGGGTGGATGGGGAATGAGAGATTACTTATTCAGCTTAGGTATTGGGTTTATCTTAACTTTAAATTTTCCTCAATGAAAATATAGTTTGAAAAAAATTAGTATTGATCTACATCAATAATATGATCACTGGGAATTATTTGGTTTGCTTAATTTTTAATCTGTGATGAATATCTTTTTTTAATGTTTCTTTTTAAAAAGATTTTATTTATTTATTTGAGAGAGAGAGAAAGAGAGAGAGAGAGAGAGAGAGAGAGAGAGAGAGAGAGCACATGAGGGGGGGAGGGTCAGAGGGAGAAGCAGACTCCCTGCTGAGCAGGGAGCCCGATGCGGGACTGGATCCTGGGACTCCAGGATCATGACCTGAGCTGAAGGCAGTCGCGTAACCAACTGAGCCACCCAGGCGCCCCTGTGATGAATATCTTCTTAAACAAAAATGTCTTTGAGGTTATCTGGACCTAGTGATAGTTCATGGAATTTAAGTATTACAGTAATAGAAATTGTAATATGTCGACAGGAACTTCTGAGACCCAAACAGGTTAAATTACTTTATAAATTAGCTATTGTTTGCTTTTCCTGCTTTCTTTCTCTTTCTTCCTTCCTTTCTTTTTTTTTAAGATTTTATTTAGAGCGATAGAGATAGAGCGAGTACAAGCAGGAGGGTGGAGGGGCAGAGGGAGAGGGAGAAGCAGGCTCCCCACCCAGTAGGGAGTCCGATGCAGGGGCTCGATCCCAGGACCCAGAGATCATGACCTGAGCTGAAGGCAGACGCTTAACCGACTGAGCCACCCAGACACCCCTTGCTTCACTTACTTTCAATCTTCTGGATCTTTTTTTTTTTTTTTTAAAGTATGAGGGACTTCAGTAGTTAAATAAAAGCTTAGATAAATAGTGTGAATATGGACTGTATTCTTA